CACAGGAGGAAATTATTAAGAAAATATTGGAATGTGCTGAAATGAGCAGATTGACATTTGAAATTAGAGAACAGGATGATAAACAATTTTATAAAGTTTGGGATCTATTCTATCAATGGTTAGACAATAAAGTATAGTAACGAAATATGTAGACTTTTAGAAATTACTAAATATATAAAGATATATTCTTTTCTTATTATATCTACAAAATGATTTTAGGATAGATTTGGGATGATACTATGAATTGTCACAAAACAAATTAAGTAAAATATGATTATTTCCTAAAGCATGAATGAATAAAAGTATAGTCAAATGATTGATTAATAATGATACCAATGTATTTAATATTGGATTGAAACTACGAGACCATATACAATGTAATTGTAATTGAAGACTATGAAATGGAAGCACAAAACAATTTGTAAACCAACCGGCACACTGTATGTACATATATGGAAGATGGGCTGATGTTTTTATGTTTTGTTTGTTTATGTTTGTTTTAAAAACCAATAAAAAATTATTTTAAAAAAAGTCTAAGTGCTATTGCTATTATCTCAGATGCATTACACCATATCTTTGAAAAATTCTGGAGTACCAGGAAACTACCAGCAGATTGGAAAAGAGCTGATGTGGTTCCCATCTTAAAGAAAGGGGAAAAAAACAGATCCAGGAAATTACCGATCAATCGGCCTTGCATCAATACTTGGGAAGACACTGGAATAATAATAATAAAGCAGATCTGCAAACATTAAGAAACAAATAAAGTTATAACTAGAAGCCAGCATGGGTTTGTTAAAAGCAGGTCATGCCTAATCAATCTTACTTCATTCTGTGACAAAATGACTAAATTAGTAGAGCAACAAAATGCTGTGGACATAGTATACTTAGACTTCAGTAAGGCATTTGACAAAGTAGAACACAACCTACTTCATGGTAAGCTAGAAAAATGTGGGATAGACAGCATCACCCCCAGATGGATTTGTAACTGCCTGACAAACCATACTCAACAAATAGTTTTAATGGAACCATATCCACATGGAGGGAAGAAAGTAGTAGTTCCGTCTTATGCTGAGTACTTTTCAGTATTTTCATAGACGGTTTAGATGAGGGAATAGAAGGAGAACTCATCAATTTTGTAGATGACAATAAGTTGTCAGGAATAACCAACACCCCAGAGTACAAACCCAGGATCCAAAAAGATCTTGACAGATTTGAACAATTGGCTCTATGCAACAAAATGAAATTAATGTTGAGAAAGCAAGGATTTACACCTAGGCAAAAAACCTCCCAAAGGTTCAAATACAAATTAGGCGAAATCTGGTTCAAAAGCAGTAACTGTGAGAGGGACCATCCTTTAGTCAGATCACATCTGAAATCCTACATCCAGTTTGGGTCACGACATTACAAAAAAGATGTTGAGACTTTGGGAAAAGTGCAAAGAAGAGCAACTAAGATAATTAGATACCTGGAGATAAAAATATATGAAGAATGGTTGCAGGAATTGATTATGGTCAACTGGGAGAAATGAAGGACTAGGGCTGACATGATAGCAGTATCTGCGGTGCTGCCACAAAGAAGACTGGGCCAACCTGTTCTCCAAAGCACCAGAAGGCAGGACAAGAAAGAATGGATGGAAATTAATCAAGAGAGAGAGGCAACTGAAATGAAGGAGAAACTCCCTAACAGAG